TCTTGTGTATGGTGTAAGTTGGTGGTCTAGTTTCATTTCTTTGCATTGTATCTGTCCAATTTTCCCAGCACCATTTATTGAAGAGACTGTCTTGACTCCACTGTAGGCTCTTGCCTCCTCTGCCAAATATTAACTGAGCATCATGGCTTGGGTCGATTTCTGGGGTGTCTATTCTGTCCCACTGATCTATATGCCTGTTCTTGTGCCAGCACCAAGCTGTTTGGATTAGTGGCTTTGTAGTGTAACTTGAAATCTGGTATTGTGATTCCTCCAACTTTGTTCTTTCTCAAGATTGCTGCGGCATTCCTGGGTCTTTTTTGGTTCCATATAAATTTTTGGAGTGTTTGTTCTAGATCTGTGAAATATGCTGTTAGTATTATAATAGGTATTGCATTGAATCTATAGATTGCTTTGGGTAGTATGGATATTTTAATGATGTTAATTCTACCAATCCATGAACACGGTAAAGGCAACCCTATACACTGCTGGTGGGAATGCAGACTGGTGCAGCCATTATGGAAAACAGTATGGAGTTTCCTCAAAAAATTAAATATGGAACTGCCATTTGACCCAGTGATCCCACTTCTAGGAATACATCCTTAGAAACTGAGGACATCAATCAGAAAGAATATATGATATGCACCCCGATGTTCATAGTAGTGCAATTTACAATAGCTAAGATCTGGAAACAGCCCAAGTGCCCATCAGTAGAGGAGTGGATAAAAAAGCTGTGGTACATTTACACCATGGAATACTATGCAGCAGTAAAAAAGAAGGATCTCTTATGATTTGAGACAGCATGGAGGGACCTGGAGAGTATTATGCTAAGGGAAATAAGCCAGTCAGAGAAAGACAAGTATCACATGATCTCACTCATAAGTGAAATCTAAAGATCAAAATAAACAGATGAACAAAATAGATCCAGAGACATAGAAGCATGGAACAGACTGTTGAATCTCAGATGGAAGGTGGAGGTGGGGGGTAGGTAGGAAGAAGTTAACCAAAGAACTTGTATGCATATATGCATAACCCATAGACACAGATAATAGTGTGGTGAAGGCCAGGGGTGGGGCACAGGTACAGATTAGAAGGGGTCAATGGGGGGAAAAGGGGGCATCTGTAATACTTTCAACAATAAAGATTTTTTTTAAGTGAATAAACCTTAAAAAAAATGTAGTCACTTATGGGGGAAGGTAGGAACTGGGTATGTGTGGGTATCTGAGGGACAGGACTAGAAGTTAAATTTTCCCCTGTATGTGTTTTTATGCATCTTAATACCTGAATGATATGGTTGCATTATTTAACCAAATTGTTAAATCATCTAAAGATTCTATTGGGCTCTCTGTCCCCTGGCACAGGCTTCTTCTTAACCTCAGCACTGTTGACATTTGGGGCAGGATGATTCTCTGTTGTGTGTGGCATCTGTGGGCTGTTGAGCAGTATCCTTGGACTCTATCCACTAGATGCCAACAGCATCTCCTAAATGGGGGACAAGCCCTAGCCGGTTTGGCTCCGTGGATAGAGGGTCGACCTGCAGACTGAAGGGTTTCAGGTTCGATTCTGGTCAAGGGCACATGTCCTGGCTGTGGGCTCGATTCCCAGTAGGGGGTGTGCAGGAGGCAGCCGTTCAATGACTCTCTTATCATTGATGTTTCTATCTCTCCCTCTCCCTTCATCTCTGAAATCAATAAAAGTAAATAAAAACTAAAAATAAATAAAAATAAAAGGGGGTCAAAATCGCTGTGGTTGAGAACTACTACCCTCACCCAATTCCTACCTGCGTGTTTGCTGCCCTCCCTCCCGCTACCTCACATCCTTTCTAAAAAGGCTTCTTAGTGAGGGTTTATCAGGTATCAGACACTGCCATGGTAAGGAGTACTGAAATATCATAAGAATCCACCCCTAAAAGGTGACGTTTTCATTTACAGCTCACTGAGGGGAAACCAAGGCTCAGGGAGGGGAAGCCAGGAAGTGGTGTTACCAGCACTTGAACCCACGTCTGGCTCCTCCAAACCACCGCCCCCTAGCCCACCCTCCTGTTCTAACCCTCCTGCCCGCTCCCTTTCCTGCCTGTGCCAGCGGCACCAGCGTTCACTGAGCTGGGGACCTTGCCATCATCTTGGCCCCAGAGCCTGTCCCCACCCCAAGTCTAATCAGCTCCCAAGTCCTGGTGGATCTTTCCCACAATGACTGTCACATTCATCTCTTCCTCTTCACGCCCTTAGCCTTCAAGTTTCCTTCATCGCTGCAACCCAGAATGTGGAGTCTCAGAGAAAGAGTTGGGTTGAGCTCCAGGGGCAGAGTTGGGTTGTCTGGTCATTGTGGCCGCTTATGACAGTAGCATCCATTCTCTCTGGGCCTCAGATCTGAGGGACCTTCCAGCGTGAAGATTCCCTCCAATCAGACCTCACCCATGAACCATTTCCACCAGCCAGGCCACTCACTGCCCTGCAGTGCAGCACAGCCTGTGTGGGCATTCACCCTTTCTGACCCCAGGGCCTTTGCACGGGCAGCACCCCCTAGCAGAAGCACTGCTTCCCCAGATCCATATGGCTCATTCATTGCCTCACTTTCCCCAGGTCTCTGCTCCAACTTCACCTTATCAGTGAGGCCTCCCAGACGCCCTATTCAAAAGTGCGGCCTGATACGCCTGAGTCCCCATTCCTGCTTTGTTTGTTCCAGAGTACATACTACCTCCTGACAATTTATATGTTTCCTTCCTTATTTGCTCACTGTCAGTCTCTCCCACTAGAATGCGGGCTCCACAACAACAGGGGTTTGTGTGTGTCCTGTTCTCACTGTCTTGGCCCCAAGAAGAAGTCTGGCATACATTGTAATTGTTGCCAAATGACTGAATGTTTAAATATGGTCTTCCCACCCTCTTCCCTGGAAACAACTGAGGAAAAGCAGAAGAACTATGAAAAGAAAATGAGAGAAACTGGGAAGCACCCCAATTCCAACCTCCACACCTTTATTTGTGCCATAGCCCCCTCCCTCCTCCCACACCCTTCCCTTTTCTCCCTCGGCCCTTCTACATCCCATGGTCCTGGCTTCCATCTGTTAACAGACAGGGACATGCAAACCTAGAGAGGTTGTTCTTTTGGCACCTCCCTCTGGCTTAGTGTTTCAGCTTCCCACACACATCCCCACCGAGAACCGGGCATGGGGCTGAGCTCTGAAGAGAGACAAAATGAGCAGGGGCAGGAGGGTGCAGAGCTCCCACACGGGAAGGATCAGGGAATACACCTGCACAGACTGGGGCCTGGCACAGCTGGGTGCAGGAAGCCAGAGCAATGAGAAAGCTCCTATTCACTCTTCAAAACCCAGTACAAATGTCTCATCTTGGAGAAAGCCAGACTCCCTCAGGCAATGTCTTGCCTTTGCTACAGGACCCCCAGCCCAGAGATTTGTCCCTCCACCACAGTCCTGACAACAAGGGGCTGCAGGTGTCTGGTTCCGTGTCCCCGAGTCTGGGAGCACCTTGAGGGTCAGGCCTGGGCCTGGGTTCATGGCATTGCCCAGAACATAGACATAGGATGGTCCCTGGAGTCCCCGCAGCTGCTCTCCTAAACATTATTGCCACATCCCCCTGCTTTTCATCAGAGGGCAAGCTTTAGGCAAGCTGCATGCAGGGTGGAAGTTCATCCTTACGTCTATCCACTTTGCCATTAGCTGCTATTAAGCCTCAGTGGGGACCCTGCCTCCCTGCTGATCTGAGGCCTGACAGGTGGTAGAGCTACTTCCTCGTGTGCTGGAAGGAGACAAGCAAATGTAGGCAATTTCGGGATGGCAGGTGTCAAGAAGGGCTGGCCATGGGGGAGGGGTTCTCTAGAGCTCCCTCCTTCCATCAAGAAATCCTGCCTGGGCTAGCAAAGGGGGCCCACCCACCTCTCCACCCAGGGGCTCTGTCCCCAGGAAATGCCCCTAAGGATCCCCATGGGCCCACTCCCAGAGCAGTCACTTCCCCTCCCCCCACCTGCACATGGCAGTCAAACCAGAGAGGAGGCTACGGATGCCTCAACTACCCCCCTCCCCCGTCACCCCCAGCCTACAGCTCCTCTGGACAAAACTTTCATCCAGGCACAGAGACTAAAGCCTGGCCTATGGGTCCCCGTGGACCTCCATGGCAGGTGGGGCACCCCCAGCCCCCACCCAGCAGCATACACCACTTCCACCCAGCACCCAGGCGGCCATAGAGAACCAGAGGAGGTGCTACGGAGAGAGCATCCAGTCCTGTTACCTCCCCCACCCAACCGCATTCAAATAGGGACTTGAATGTGTTTCCTGAGCCGGGGGCGGTCACAGTCAAATCTGCCTCCTTCTGGACCCTCAGCCTTCACAGAAATTGCTACTGAGACAGAGGAGCTATTCCTAGGCTCCCAAACCCCAGAACCCACCCTCGGGGGCTCAGGACCAGGTCCTGCCTCAATGTCCCCCAGGGGATGGAGGAAGCCAGGAAGAGCAGAACCCGAGGTCACAGGCCCCCATCTGCCCCAGGCCCAGGCAGGAAGCCAAGGGGAAGGAGATGTGAGGGGAAGGAAGGGGCCCAGGGGCCCGGAGGAGGAGACACATGTGGGGAAGGAGGGCCCTCCCCCATAGCCAGAATCTGGGGGCAAGGGGTCTAAGAAAACCTTAAGCACCCTGTTGACCAACCAGGGGATTTCTAGGCACCCCCTCAAGACTCCCAGAGGATGGCACCTGGAGCCTTGAACCCCAGGGAAGTGGGCCTGGGGCTCAGGAGTGGCTAACCCGCAGCTTGCCAGTTCACAGCCTAAAGTTGGGCTCATTCTGTGCCTACAAATGCATTCCTGCTAACCTTTGGTGGGTCACCCCAGAATTTCAGTGTTACCATCCACATCACCCCTTCCCCCACCCCCTCCCCTAAGCCAGCCGTGGAGTTGACATATAACCCAGTGCCGGCCCAGAGGCACAGTACACTACCCCAGCCTGGAATGCCCCCCACTTCCAACCCTGGGCCCGGCAGCCCTTGGTGGGCTCACCTGGGACATCTGGGGACGCAGGTTGACCTCGCGTAAGTTGATGGCGTGGGGCTGCAGGTTGTTAAGCAGCTGGCAGAGAAGGACCCCATCCCGCAGGGCTTGCGCCAGCTCGCACACCTGGGCCCCGTCCCAGGTCACGCGGTGGCTGGGCGGCAGCACCCGGCACTGGATCAGCCAG